TCATAACCCTTATTTTTTGCAGTCAAGATAGCATCGAGGAAAGACAAAGGGCCTCAAGAAATCAATTAACTGGGGATGAATAGTAGATTAGTTAGAATTGAAGAAATTTTGATCCCTTCCGACCATCTTGAGCTAAATTCTATTAGTCTCTTAGGCTTCCATTCTATTTTAGAGGATTCTTCACTACAAACTGTTTTTTAGACCACTACCGATTCTATTTCTGTTTTTGCTTCATCTACTATGAGATGGGTGACGAAGATATTTCCACAAATGAACTGGAAAAGATAAAAGAGAGAATTGTCGCTTCCAATCTAGAAAAATTCTTCCCCTCTGATAAGGGGAAGGAGCATGTTAATGTCGAAGGTGATGAGAACAAGGGAAAGTCAGAAAAGAAGGAACAAGCTGATGAGACATGGTAAGATGAGGAGTTCTTTGCAAAGAAGGTGACAAACAAGAAAGCCGAGTCAGAGGCAGTCCATTCTGAGAAGCTTGATAAATTAGAAAAGATGGACAAGAAAATTGAGAAAATCAACGTCTTCATGAAGTCCAAGGGGTTGGACCAGTATCTAGACATGGATGATGATGAAGATGAAGAGGTTGAACTTAAAAGTACCATTCCATTGACTTATAAGATACCCAAGGTGTCCAAGTATGATGGCACCAGTGACCCTAAAGTGCACGTCATGCAATACAAAGCTATAATGGAATTGGCGCATTTTCCATCTCAAGAAATCTTAAGGTTGTTTCCCATATCATTAATCGGTTCATCCAAGACATGGTACTGCAATTTGGAGAAGAAAGTGAGAAAAGGTTGGAATAAGCTCACTACTGTGTTCTTCAAAGAGTATGCTTACAACCTGCAAATGAGTGTCAGTATGAGAGACCTTGAGACCATTGTGCAAAAGAGTGAAAAATCTTTTTCTAATTATATGGCTAGATGAAGAGCCAAAGTCACTCAAATGAGGAGTAGAATTGACACTATGGAGCATATTAAGATTTTCATAAAAGGCACCCTGCTAGCTTTTAGAAAAAAGATGTACTACATGCTGTTGACTGAATTTTCCTAAGTCTATAAGGTGGGGACTGCCATTGAGGATAAACTTTTGGAAGAGAAGAGCCAAGGTTAGGGGTGTAAATAACACGAGTCGGCTTGTGAACTGTTCGAGCTCTGCTCGAAAAGAGTTCGAAAAAGCTCTACTCGAAAAGAGTTCGAAAAAGCTCTACTCATTTGGCAAAAGAGTCGAGCTCGAGCCTCATGATGTTCAGCTTGAAAGCTCGTCGAGCCTTATTAAGCTTTTATATATACATATATAATATTATTTTAGGTTACTTAAGCATTGAGCCTTGAGCTAAGCTCAAGCTTAAAATTTTTTGAGTTGAACTCGAGTCTCAAGTCGAGCTTTCATTGAGCTCAAGCCTAAATTTTTTGGCTCATTAAATTTTGAGTGGAGCTTGAGCCGATCTAAATTCTATCGAGCTGAGCTCAATCTGAGCTTCGAGCCGAGCTCAAGCCAAGCTTCGAGCCTGATAGGTTCGAGCTCGATTTGGCTCATTTACACCCCTAGGTATGGGCATCGTTTGGAAAACTTCAACAGTTCAGGGTTCCAAGGATCAGGTTCTTCCGGGAAGTCCACCAACTCTAACAAGATCGCTACCACGACCACTCTAGATTTTTGTGATGCAAACATGCAACAAAGGAGGTTCTCTAAATTTGGTGCTCCTTTGTCTAAGGTGTTTGAAAAGGTTAAATCCATGGGTCTCTTACAGCCACTAGCACCGAGACCACCTCCTAATCCCTTGCCCAAGAATTTCAATCAGAATGCTTTCTATAAGTTTCATTAAGAAATGTTCACCCTACAGACTAGTTGAGGCATGAAATTCAAAATATGATTGATGAGGGAAAAGTGACAGATCTAGAGAAGTCGATGCCTAGCACCTGGACTAATCCACTGTTGAACTTTCACAATGTGCTGCCTCCAAAGAATTTATATACTATTGAGTTTGGGAAGACTCCCAAGGAGGTAATGGCAGAGTTTGAGGAGGAAGAGGGAGAAAGAGAGTACCTCTTGGAGCAAGTGTTTGCGATGGTTAGGAATGTATGGGAGGATAGTGATGAGGAATGGTTGAATCCCATTGACGGATGGATCGATAGTGAAGATGATCTAGTAGTGAACCCCATTACTCTGGATGTGTGGAGTGGTGAGGAGGAAGAGGAGACAAAAGAGGTGAACAACACGAGTCATAATGGTCGAGTGTATCAGCCTGACATGATTAAAGCCAAAATAACTGAAAATGAAAAAGCAAGCCCTTCTGATAAACCAAAAGAAAGCATAGAAGATGACCCATTGATTAAGCAGCTCAAGAGAACCCATGCCAATGTTAGCACGTGGAATTTGCTTATCTCATCAAAGAAGCATCCTGAGGCTTTGTTAAAAGCAATGGTTGAGATTCCAGTTTCATCTTCGATCTCGACAGTGGATTTTGTGGGGCAGGTTAAGCATAATCCCCTCACAATTACTTTTTCAGATGATGGACTTCCACTTGCCTGAGGGTCGAAATCACAATAAAGCTTTGTTCATAAAGACTGAGATAAGAGGAAGGTGACAAGCAATGTCATGATAGATGACGGTTCTGCTCTGAATGTATGTCCCTTAAAGCTATTGTCCAAGTTCAAGCTAAATGTTTCTGATCTTGAGCCTTCTAATATGGTCATCCGTGCATATGATGATTCAAAGAGATAAGTAGAGGGTATTTTTAAAGCAATAGTGAAGCGGGGGCGATTGAAAAGGAGACTGAATTCATAGTGATTGACATTCCCCCAGCCTTTACCTTACTCTTAAGGTGCCCATGGTATCATTCTTTAGGAGGTGTTCCTTCTACTCTACACCCAAAAATCAAATTCCCCTTTAATGGAGAACTGATCACCATCTTGGCTGCCAGTGGAAAGAGTGTGGCCACTCTGAATCTAGATAAGCAGATTTTTCTTCTATAGACTGGCTTTCAAATTGGAGTCTTAAGCCTGCACACGGGGCCCATTGTCTCTAGTATTATAAAAAGAATGAACTTTGAAGAGAGAAAAGGACTTGGCAATAACCAACAAGGGATAGTTGAATTGCCAAATTTTCAAACTCAAAGACACCGTATGGGTCTTGGGTACAAATACAGAAGCAAGTCGAAGATGGATATATCATCCGCTCAAGTGATCAATCCTCTCCGTGTTTGCCAATAAAGCCTTTTAAGCATAAAGGGAAGACATAGTTGGGTTTGGAAATCTTCACAGATGTGATTGACATCCTCAAGGTTGAGCCTGAGAGACTAGAGAAAAAGAAAGAAATCAAGAAAGAAGATGAAGAGAATGAAGGGCCGAAGGTGGCCGAGACTGAAGGCGAAAGGGAGCAAGCGACTCGGAAAGAGGAAAAGGTAGAGAATAAGAAGGAAAGCATTGCTGAAGCAACTGAAGATCATGTGGGTCAAGTCTTAAAGGCGATTAGAGCATGCATTGAAGAGAGTTTCGAGGAGGCTGAGTCTCTATATTCTATTTTTATTTCTGATTTTGATGAGGACAATTGTAATGACCTAGCCATGCTTTTTAGTGAAATGAACTTCAATTTTGCTTACTTGTCTAATGTCTTTCCTTAGGGTTCCATTCATCAAGTAGATAAGCTCGTGCGCATTTCTGGCATAAACTCATCACACATGCTTGAATTTAATATTGACTCAAAAGATAACCCATAGAATTTATTAATTGGACCTAACCTAACGCAAGAATTAAGCGTAAAATTTCAAAACCTACTCATGGAAAAGAAAGAAGCCTTTGCATGGAGCTATGAAGACATGCCGGGTATTGACAGATCTATAGTAGAGCACACTATTCCGCTATATCCTGGGGCCAAGCCAGTGAAGCAGAAGAGGAGAAGATTGAGACTAGAATGGGCTGAAAAGATTAGAGAAGAAGTGACCAAGCAAATTGATGCCAGATGTTTAGAAGTGGTTCTCTATCCAGATTGATTAGCCAACATAGTACCAGTCCCTAAGAAGAACGGACTGGTCAGAATGTGTGTGGATTATAGAGATATGAATAACACATCGCCAAAGATGATTTTCCTCTTCCTTATATCAATATCCTAATTGATAGTGTAGTTATGACGAGATTTTGCTCAATTATGGACTACTTCATGGGTTATAATCAGATTCTTATGGCACTATTAGATAAGGCAAAAACTGGATTTATAATAGAGTTTTGAACTTTCTGCTATCGAGTAATGCCGTTTGGCTTGAAGAACTCCGAAGCTACTTATCAAAGGATGACTATTACTTTGTTTCATGACATGATCTATAAAGAAATGGAAGTGTACATTGATGATATGATTGTCATGATAAAGACACCAGAGGAGCATCCAACAACTCTGGAGCAGTTCATGGATAGAGTTATCAAATATAAGCTACGGTTGAACCTGAAGAAATGTGTGTTTGGGGTAACTTTAGGTAAAGTGCTAGGATTTATCATCGGTCTAAAAAGAAATAAAGATTGATCCAGATAAAATCAAGGTAATTCAAGAGATGAAGCCTAAGAAGGAGAAGCAAGTGAGAGTTTTCTAGGTAAGTTTCAATATATCAGCAAGTTCATATCGAATTTGTCTATTGTATGTGATCCAATTTTCAAGCTGTTAAGGAAAGATCAGCCAGTCAAATGGAACGATCACTGCCAGATAACTATTGATAAGATTAAGAATTACTTATGAAGTCCCCCAGCTTTATGCCCACCAAAACCAGGGAATCCATTAATCCTGTACTTGACAGTGGAAGATGCCAGAATTGGTGCTATGTTAGCACAAGCCGATGAAGCAGGTGTTGAAAAAACAATTTACTACTTGAGTAAGAAGCTTCTTCCTAATTAGCAGAAATATAACTTGATCAAAAGAACTTGTTTAGCTATAGTTTGAGCAACTAGAAAACTTCGTCATTACTTTCAGTCTTATAAGGTAATAGCGATTTTCAAAATGGATCCAATGAAGTACTTATATGGAACACTAATGCTAGTGGGGAAATTAGCAAGATGGTTAATCTTGTTATCTGAATTTGACATTGAGTATGCTACAAAGAAGACTGTCAAAGGAATAGCAGTTGCAAATTTTCTAGCAGCACATCCAGTTGAAGATGATGAACCATGGGAAATTGATTTTGCTTATGAACATTTGAACTTAATAGAGAAGAAAGAATGGAAGCTCTACTTTAATTGGTCAGCTTACGGTAAAGGAGCAGGAGTAGGCGCCTTGTTAAATCTCCACATGGTGAAGTTATCCCGATGTTGAAAAGGTTGCGATTTGTAGTTACAAATAAAATGGTAGAATACGAAGCTTATTTATTTGGATTAAAAGCTTTGATTGCTATTAAAGTTGAAGAAGTTGAGGTCATTGGTGATTCAAAGTTGGTAATTGAGCATGCTAATGGAAATTAGGAAGTAAAGGAAGATAGGCTGAAGCCATACATTGACTATCTACATGTTGTTGGTCAGAACTTCACAAAAGTAACCTTCGCGCACACTAGCAGAGTGAATAATAGAGTTCCAGATAGTTTGGCAAATTTAGCATCAACTTGGGAAGAAATATCGTCTATGCCCAAGAAGCCTTTCATAATGTCTTCGGGTAGCATCCTGAGTTATGAAGGAGATCAGATTGTGGATTTTGAGGAAGATGATCAACCATGGTTTATCCCGATTCAACTACTAGAGATGACAAACGAGCTTTGCAACACTTGACATTATAGTTTGCGATACTAGATGGTTATCTGCACAAGAGAATGCCAGACGATGTATTGTTGAGATGTGTATCGATAAAGGAAGCTGAGGAGATAATAAAATAGGTCCATGTGGGAGTTTGCGGCACTCACATGAGCGGACAAGCTTTACCAAAAAAGATTCTTAAACAAGGGTTCTTTTGGTCGACAATAGAAAGGGATTGTGTTTCTTTTGTAAAGGTGTTTTGAATGTCTGATTCACGGAGACCTGAGTCATATTCCACCATCAGAATTACATCCTTTTATTTTTCCATGACCATTTGAAGCTTGTGGAATAGATATTATCTGCAAAATCTCACCGCCAGCTTTTAATGGACACGAATTCATAATGGTGGCAGAAGCGAAACCGTTGTTAGCAAAATATGGAATTGAGCATCATAAGTCTTCACCATATCATCCACAGGTGAACGGGGTAGTGGAAATCGCAAACAAGAATATCAAGAAAAATTTGAGGAAAATGGATAAGAATCATCGAGATTGCGCTAGTAAATTACAGTATACCTTATGGGGCTATAGACCATCGTCAAATCTACAAATGGGGCATATTATTTGGTTTATAGAATGTAGGCTATGCTACTAACCGAGATAAAAGTGCAGTCTTTGAGCGTAATGATGGAACCCAAAATTTCAAAATGTCAATAGGCTGAAAGCCCTTATCAAGAGTTGCACGCCCGACTCCAACCACTGGAGGAATTTTTCTCTTTGAATCAAGCCAATTCCATCCCATACTGGATTGGCAAGACCCGCACGATTTTATCCCCTAGGTGAAATGGGAACTTCCTATGAGGTCACCCATCTTAGGATTTCTGTTAAGTGAGCACACTTAACCCTAGAGTTCTTTCAACTCTCCAAGCCATTCCACTAAAAGGTGCCTCTAATGATTAGTTTCCCCTTTTCGATATATGATCCGATTCAACGGATTTTTTATCCCCTAGGTGAAATGGGAACTTCCATATGAAGTCACCCATCTTAGGATTTTCTGGTTTAAGTTGAGCACACCTTAACCCTAGAGTTCTTTCAAACTCTCCAAAAGCCATTCCACTAAAAAAGGTGCCTCTAATGATTAGGTTCTCCCCTTTTCGATATATGGATCGATTCATTCCTGTGTCCTATATTCCACTTACCCAACAGCTAGCCTACCATCCTATAAGCCAGCAAGAAGCTTTGCTTTACCTGCCCTCTTTAGGATTGGCTTTGCCGGGTCGGGATTGTCACAGGCCCCACTTTGCTTTCGCGTTGATTCATCCTAAAACCATACGTTATGAGGGGGTTTCTAGCTTTGATACCAACCCTAGAGTTCTTTCAACTCTCCAAGCCATTCCACTAAAAGGTGCCTCTAATGATTAGTTTCCCCTTTTCGATATATGATCCGATTCATTCCTGTGTCCTATATTCCACTACCCACAGCTAGCCTACCATCCTATAAGCCAGCCAAGAGCTTTGCTTTACCTGCCCTCTTAGGATTGCTTTGCCGGGTCGGGATGTCACAGGCCCACTGCTTTCGCGTGATTCATCCCTAAACCATACGTTTATTTGAGGGGGTCTAGCTTTGATACCAATTGTCATGCCCGAATCCAACCACTAGAGGAATGGTCTGCTTTGGATCAAGCCAATTCCATCCCATACTGCATTGGCTAGACCCGCACGGTTTTGTCCCATAGGTGAAATGGGAAACTTCTCGGGAGGTCACCCATCCTAGGATTTCCATTAAGCGATATGCTTAACCTTAGAGTTCTTCCAACTCTCCAAGCCATTCCACCAAAAGGCGCCTCTGATGATTAGTTTCTCCCTTTTCGATATATGATCCAATTCATTCTCGTGTCTTGCATTCCACTACCCATAGCTAGCCTACCATCCTAGAAGCTAGCCAAGAGCTTTACTCACTTGCCCTCTTAGGATCGGTTTGCCGGGTCGGGATGTCACAAAGAGTTAACTCTCCCAGACGGAAAAAGGTTTAACGCTAGATTTATGGATCAGTTATACAGAAGGAGAATGGATAAATACTTCAATAAAACAGTCAATCCAAAGCTATTAAGAGTAAGAGTTTGGTCCTGAAGCAGATGAAGTTGAACATTCATGACCCGAGGGGAAAAATTCAAGCCTCATTAGGAAGGTTTGTCTCTGACCAAAAAAATATTCTCAAAAGGTGCAATGAAGCTATTAGATCTAGAAGACAATGAGTTTACAGAGCTAGTTAACATAGAAAGGTTGAAAAAAAATTTTATGTATAAGATGAAATGTTTATTGCAAAGCCTAATTAACTAAATTCGCATTTTGTGTTTTTATTAACTTTAAAGCTTATTGTGTTAAGTTTTAGCCATCATGTAAATGATGTGAATTTACATTGCTGATATGGAATAAAAGGAAACATTTCAAACATCTTTAAGCAAAAGACATTCATTCATAATTAGTGCATACATATGTTAATAATTGCACTGTTAATAATTGTCTAGTACATATCATTAAAAAGTAGGATAAAGGCATCTATCTGCCAAGTCCTAATAAGAATCTAGTAGTCAGAAGATCAACCGACTTATAATCAGCTTTTACTTAAGAATAAGCCTGCAGCCATAAGCGGTACAGAGAAGAGGATGAAGTGTCGACTGCATTAGAAATGTGGACAGTGGTATGACTAGACCAAATGGTAATAAAGTGAGAGAGAAATCTCCAGGTGATCAGTCTACCTTCAAACCGAGCATAATTGGGGATAGCCTGATGATGACCATACTGCTTAGCCAAACGACTTGGGTATAAGCGATTGCCATAGTTAGGCTGCACAAGGGCACACAGAGCATATATATAGAAATTGTGATTCGCTCTATGTACCACCAGGGGCAAGTCCATTTGATGCCTTCAGTTATGATATCCTAAAATGGCTGTTCAGTCCTCGACGGTATCTCTAGTCAAGCAACGATGGTGCTGGATGAAGACTCTTGGCTTGTAGTCATACATTAAGTGATTCAATGGCAGGTTCATCACCTTAAGCTTCTCATAAGCCCACAACTGTGAATACATTAAAAAGGAAAAAAAAAAAAAGAAAGAAAAAAAGAAAAAAGAAAAAAAGGAAATAGAAGAAGAAAAAAAAGAAATGAAAAGGAAAAAGAAGAAAAAGAAAAGCTCGTTAAGTCGAAAATCCACAGGGGTGACTTAAGCAAAAGTTATAGCATAACACAAAAATAATAATATAATGCATTTACTTGCAGTAGAAGTGGACTCCCCGTCGGACCAAGCTCTGAGTCTGGGTCTCGAGATTGATCTCCTAACTAAGTTAGCGTCTCGACAAGAATAAGCAGAAACAGCGTGTGTCACCTAGCCATTTACTCGATTACGGCTACTAGTCTAAGGCTGCCATAGCCGTCAATGCCACTTAATAGCAGATGCTAGCTCATAATGTAAAAAAAGACTAATGGAGCCCAGTACGGACTAGCACAAACCATCTCCAAAGCACGCTCTACCAACGGTCACAGAGGCACGATGTTAGCTCCAAGATAAGTGGGTATTTCATAGGTCGAGAAGCCAAACACCGAAAGAATTAGTGAAGTAGGGTCAGTATCTAGCCTAGGCACCTCGGAAATTTCTTCAGTCATGGGTCTCCTGCCAGAAATAATGTTGAACTCTTCAAACAACGGGTAAATCTCGAAGTTGTTGTGCCAAAATAAGTTGTCTGAATAGTCAAAATGGTCTATTAACCATTACAATAATCTGGGTTAGACCTAAATATTTCGATAATAACTCAGCCTGTCTAATGTAAATGGCGCTAGTAAATTCCAATCTTCCTGGGTGAGACTATAGAATAATGCTTCTTACATGGGCGCTAGAGTCCGATACATGTGAAAATAAAGAAGAAATGAAATTTTTAAGAATTTTTCTGAGTTGGTTTTGTGTTTTTAAGACAGCACAAGCCTTTGAGATGTGGTAGTACGTTGTGGGCCTTTTATAGGCAAAAAGTGAAGGACAAAATTTGATAGCTGTTAGCCACTGTGCTGATAATGGCGCATGTCACTACCCATGGCACCAACCACAGTCATAGTGGCGCACGCCACTGAAGCTCAGATAGTAGAAAAAAAAAAAAGAAAAAATGTATGTCTCGAACTCTATCATGTCAACCCAACCACAAGCAATTCAAGGTTATTCATGTAGCATTTGACATCACTTAGAAAAGACGAAGAAATCAACATTCATATAAATAAAAAGGGCACAAGATTTGAATCTCCATTACACAATCTATCAAATGTTCATGACCTATTTGAAGAGGGGCAAAGAACAAAAAGAAAGAAGAAAGTAATAAATAGAGCTCGGATATGACATGTATGAGGTCATCTCCTCTGAGTCCTCGCTCTCATCATCATTAGCCTCTCCAATCACGATCGATGTGCAACTGCGGACGAGACTGCGACTAACTTTTCCACCACGAAAGTCCCGACCCTGACCTCTTAGCGCCACGCCAGCTCTTTGCATTCATGTGAAGCATGTTAATGTTGCATACCATGCATTCATAACATCTATAACACATTCTTTTTTCTTTTTATGCTGTTTTTTTTTACTTATAGAGATATGCTCGTCAGAGAGCCTCACTGCAGCAAGCTTCAGTCTCGCAGCTTCAAACAACTGGCTCACTTTACTGTAATCCTCGATGGATACCTAAAGAATAAGACAAGGACATCAATTAATAGTGAAAGCTAATAGAGAGAAGACATCAATTTCCAAGCAAAAAGAACAAACTTACATGAGTGCAACCGTGTGGAGTCATCTAGTAGGGGCTAACTGTGTATGTATCCAGCATGCCTTGCACGAGCAACGCTGTGTGTACAGATATAAAAGTGAACAAGGCACCTAGGGCATGCTCTGGTTTGCCGACCATAATAATATTGTCCAGCGCCTCAGTACCAGAATCCCTCTTGCTGCACTTAGCACGCTGCTGCAATGATAAAGCATGGATAATAAGCAATCCACTAATGCACT